TAATAAATAGAAATTTATTTATTTATAATTCTAATAGAATGAATTTGAAAAAATAAATAGAATCATTTATATGAAATAAAAATAATTCTAATTTGAAATAATACGATTTTGTTAGGTTCCCATAGAATGGTGTGAGTATTTATAATTTAGTTGTATTATTTTTTATGCTTTATGTGTGTGTACAATGATTTTTAATTGATTTAATTTCAATTTGATTTACTTGAATGATTTTTAATACAATTTTTGTGTTGAAACTATAACATTCAAATACATTCCAAATTATTGAAATAAATTTGATTTTTGCATCTAATTCACACTAAAATCAGATGGCGCTCATTAGCGAGATTCGCAAAAAAAAGTCTCCAATCTCATATACGTCAACCCCCCTTGATTAAAGTCATTATACAAGAATCGATAAGAACATACAAAACATATAAAGAAGAATAAACATACAATTGACAAAGAGAATAAACATAAGAAATAAACAATGAGTTAAGTGGAATAAAAAACACAATTAAGTTCATGCGTAAATTAATTTACATTGGTTTGTTCGTCATCGATCAGTTCTGTATGTTCTTCGTTTTGACCATACGTTTTTTTCTTGTAGTATGCTACTTGTACTTGTAAACGTTTGATTTCAGCAGATTTGTTTCGACATATTTCTTTGAATCTCATTATCTGGACTTCGTTGCGCAAAAATCGAGCGTAATCTTCTGTGCTAATTGTGACAGTTGATGATGGTCCAAGTAAAAGGAGAAATACAAATTAATTCCACAGAATAAAAACGTAACAAATATATATTTCAACTTACTTTTGTGATTTGGGTGTTGAAATATCTGAAACTTTAGGAACTGTGACAATTGGAATTTCATTTTCCTTCTCTGTTGTCACCTTTTGCGTCAACACATTCTTCTGTTTCGGAATTGAAATGAGATCAACGACAGGTAGCATCTGTTGGTTTAAATTCGTCAAGTCTGTTTCTGGTTGTTGTACTTCTGCTATTTGCATTTCCATATCAATTTCTTGGACATGACTAATAATCAATATAGAATTATACAAATGTTATCAAAGTGATATATTGATTATAATGTTCTTACTTTTGCAATGCGTTTGGTGAATTATGTGAACCATCAATAACTGATTGTGTTGGTTCCAAAACCGGCTCAACGTTAAGCGATATTGACATTGGTTGATGATCTTCTGGTTCTACAAACACAAGTTCTCCAACGGAGCTACATATAGACAATTGAAAAAAATGAATAAATACAATAATATGTTGAATGAATTGAATTGAGGAATATCGGTCAATTTACGTCGGAAAAAATGTAGGAACTGTTCCTTTTACTAAGGTTGTTCGTTTTCCATTACAAATAATTTTTTTGGGATCAAAATGAATGGCACAAATGGGATAAGACGCAGGTAAATTATCAAAAGATTGGTGCTGTTGTATTTGGTTTATCCACGCTTGGCGAAGATACGGTTCATGTGGAACACTATAATAAGAAAAATCCAAATAATATTTACTTTTAATGGAAAATAATATAAAATTTGGATACACTTATTTGAAAAATGTTAGTTTTCCTTTTTTTGTTTTGCAATTTAAAATTTTACAATTCCCCATATTATTGTTTTTAACAACTTTTTTACAAAATGTTTCACCCAAACAAATGACTCACTCATAATAAATAACAACACTATTGAGTGACGTTTCATGACAATGCCAAAACGTCAAACTCACATGAGCGTAGACAGACGGCGTATGCGTGTAATGCACAGGCATAAGACCATGATAATATTGCCATCCGCATATATATGAATAGTGATGGGGGAGACACATCTAGTAGTGACAATGGAAGTTTTTTAGCGATGAATACTATGACAGTTATGAAAGCAGTGAAGATTTTGATATTGGGGCTGAAAGTGATGAAGATGATGCGATGGAAGTAGATCTACAACCCACGTACTTATGGGATCAAATCGATTGTCTCCACGTTGAAGATGTCTTCAGCGATATAAATAGCGAAGATTTTGATGAAGCTGAACGAGATATGGCGGATCTATTATTTGGTGATCGTGATATACAATGGGAGTATTATTGGAAGTATAAATTAAAACGTAAGGATTCGTATCTAACTTCATATCTATCACACATGCAATTGTTTGGACAGTGAAAGCTGTTGTATCTTAAAGAGCGTCAAAAAATCTACTAAATTCGATCTGTCAAAGTGAAAACACTTCTGCACACACAAGTTTTTTATTGCGATTAAAATGTCGAATAACGTTCCAGCAAAATAGCATTCCTGCTGGAACCGGGTGAAACAGTCTGAACAGAATTGGAAATGTGGACCACGATTCACTTCGACAAGCATAAAAACATCTTACCGAAATGGCAACGTTTCGTGTAACATTAAACACATTCAGTGCGTCACATTCAGCTCGGCACATTCACTTTTTGCACATTCAGTTCGGCAGTGCCGCTCACACACAACAGTCGCGTTCGCCTAAGCATTAACATAGCATCGATTAGTCATTTATACACTTATTCGTTTCATTTTCAAATCAATCTATTTTCAAACATTATTATCATTTTTGCATTATTATTATATATTAAAATTAAAGTAATTAAGATCTATTTGTTACATCGAAGTATTTTATTTACGGAAAACCCCATATTGAATGTTGTCTGAACATTTTGGCGCCCGAAGGGGGACCCACACAAATAGTTTAGCATAAAGTGATATTCGCATTAGACAGTGACATTGAAATAACATTGAGACTTAGTGATTTTCATATGCGCAATCGAAGTACAATTTTCGATCGAAATCATGCCTACCGATTCAGCAAATAATACATCACTGTTTGAAAATGCATACGGTCCAGATGAATTAATTAAATTGCAAATGGATCGTCTTGAACAATTAAAAAGAATCAAGACAAATTTCGGTAAAACCGCAGCAGACAAACGAACGGTAAATTTATTCGCAACACGAGTAGAACAGCTGAGTCAGCTGTATGAGTGTTTTACACAGACGCACAAAGTCATTGTGTGCACGGCCGCTTCGACAGACGACGACTATTTCAAAAAACACATTGCTATTGAATTCGAAGAATTGTACGTCGACACGTATTGTGAGGTGACCGACACGCGCGATAAAAAATTCCCATCGTTAGCAACTGTAACGGGATCCGTGCAAACCGCACCATCGAATTTTCATCAAAATGTTTCGTCAGTAAACTATCCAGAAATACCAAACCCTACATTCTCAGGCAATTTCAGCGATTGGCCAGAGTTTTTTGATACATTTAATCGATTAATTCATCAAAATATTCAACTTAATCCTGTACAAAAATTCTATTTTTTGAAAAAAGGTATTCCATCACATAGTGACACAGACATACATAAAATGCAACTCACGGAAGCAAACTACGCAACGGCTTGGGATATTTTAACCAAACGGTACAACAATCCGCGTGTTTTACATTCAAACCAAATGCATGAGATATTTTCGTTGCCGTTAGTTTTAAAGGAAAGGTCATCTGATATCAAACATTTATTAAATACCGCTACGGTTTGTATTAACGAATTACGTCGTTTAGAAATTCCAATTGATACATGCGATCATTGGCTTGCATATTTGTTCACAACAAAATTACCGAAAGAGACTCAACAGGCATGGGAATATTCATTGGGCAGTAGTACTGACATTCCAAGATTTACTGATTTAGAAACGTTTTTGAACAACCGTATAGTTACAATCGATGCAATTGAAAATCGAAATAATGTTAATGCTGCAATGAAATCGAATGAAACTGCAAAATCTAGTCATTTTTCGGCTGATGCCAAATCATCGAAAAAATCACAATCCATTGAGCAAAAAACGTTCCATACTGTTACAAAATCATCGAACCATGACAAATGTTCATTGTGTAATGGTGCACACGTTATTCGAAAATGTCAGAATTTTCTTTCAAAGGATAGTTTTGAACGGAAAGTCATAGTAGAGCAGCACAGACTCTGTATGAATTGCCTGAGCAAATCGCATTTCGTTTCGAAGTGTCCCAGCGCTACGAATTGCCAAGTATGTGGCCAAAGACATCACACTTTGCTACACTTCACATTCAGCCCGTCGAACGCATCAAACGGAAATGAAACTCAGCAACCTAGTACCAGTAATACTAAATCACTTAAAACATACACTACTAATCTCGTTTTAGATAAGTCATCAGAACCGACGGAAGTTTTATTAGAAACTGCCTTGGTACCAGTCGTCAACGTAGACACTGGTAAAAGTATGATTTTACGCGCGCTTGTGGATCAATGTTCAACGGGCACTATTGTATCGCAACGTGCTTCAACCGCTTTAGGACTAAAACGGAAACCAATTGTCGCCAGCATTACTGGTGTGGCAGACAGCAATAACTCTAGTGATGAGTTCGTCAGTTTTGAGCTGAGATCAAATCTCAATCCACATTTCACTGCTTTTGTTGAAATGGCGTTGGTAATGAAGACCGTCACGTCTAATTTGCCAAGCAAAACACTCAAACCACAAAATTGGCCACACATTCAAGGTTTTGTGTTGGCTGATCCGACCAAAGCACGGCAGTGACAAAAAATGACCGACGCGCTCGCATCGGTTGCCAGATGAACTATAGCAACCCTATTGGTTGCTGGTACAAATTTGTGCCATTGTTGAGCACAAATTTGTGCCATTATTCAATGCTGCGTTGCCCAACTGTCACTACTGCCATGCTTTGGATCCGACTTATTTCAACACAAACAAAATTGATTTGCTCATTGGGGCAGAAATGTCAGCCGCCATTCTGTTGCCAGACATGCGAATCGGTCATTTGGAGCATCCGGTAGCACAAAATTCGCACTTCGGCTGGATTTTGTGGGGCAGAACCACAGCACCAGCTAATACTGCCATCCATCCAATTACCATTCAATGCCATCACACAACAATCAATCCAAATTTAGATACACTTGTCAAGCAATTTTTCGATTCGGAGCAAGTTCCAGAGGAGCGTTGTCTCACCGAAGAAGAACAATGGTTTGTTAAATTCTTCAATCAAACGTGCACTCGTCAACCGACAGGAAAATACATGGTACGACTACCAATAAAAACACTTTTCGATCCGAATCAGACGTTGGGTCGATCAAAACAGATAGCTCTCAGAAGATTTCAACAATTGGAAAGGCGTTTACAACGAACCGATGGACTAATGGAACGCTATTCTGCAGGTATAAATGATTATTTTGAATTAAATCAAATTGTTCCCGCTATCTCTTCAGAAGATGATCACTGTACTGTGACCGAAACCAATAAGCCAACCGTTACTGCTTGTTATTTACCTCATCACCCTGTGATTCGAGAAGACAGTTTGACAACTAAGCTTCGTGTTGTTTACGATGCATCCGCAAGCACTTCAAATGGAAAATCTCTTAATGATATTCTGTGCATCGGGCCAGCATTACAAAATGAACTACCAGCTGTTATTCTGAATTGGCGAACGTATGAGTTTGTATTCATAGCTGATATTCAAAAAATGTATCGATGCATCGACATGCACCCAGATGACATTGCATACCAAACAATTCTCTGGCGCAACAAAACTGGTGACATTCAGGAATTTTGCTTGACCACAGTCACTTTTGGTACTGGTGCAGCACCATGTCTTGCAATTAGTGTCGTTCACCGTATTGCTGATGACGAAAAGGAACGATATCCATTAGCTGAAGAAGTACTGAAGAAGGAAATGTACGTCGATGACGTACAGTCGGGGGGAAGTTCCATCGAAATCGCCATTCAAAAAAGAGATCAGGTAAAGGCAGCACTTGCATCAGCTGGTATGGAATTGAGAAAATGGGCAAGTAATCATCCAGCCTTGCTTGATTCAATTCCAATCGAACATCAATGCAGTAGCACATTGCTCTCAATGGACAGCAACGAAACAATCAAAACGCTTGGTATGTATTGGCAACCAAATGGAGACATATTCAAGTTTAAATTGAGATTCGATGTGCCTACATCGGTCACAAAACGGTCGGTGCTATCAACGGTGGCACGTCTTTATGATCCATTAGGATTCATTACTCCAGTCATCGTGACAGCAAAAATCATTCTGAAACGTATTTGGAATTTTCAACGCGAGTCGTCTGAAAAAGCACTCAAATGGGATGACAATGTGCCGGAGCCCATTCAGAGTGAATGGCTACATTTCATCAACGAGTTACCGTCAATTGATCAAATATCCGTTCCAAGATGGATAGACTATTCACCGCATGATATTCAATCAATTCAACTACATACCTTTTGTGATGGTGCAACAACTGCATTTTCAGCAAATGTATACATTCGAATTCAATACAACAACGGAATGGTGTACACACATCTTCTCATCGCAAAAGGCAAAGTAACACCAACAAAACCAATAACAATTCCACGAGTAGAATTGTGCGGCGCCGAATTGGCATCACGATTAGCATCATGGGCAAAGAAAAATCTTCGTTTGAACGTCAATGAAATTCCGATGTATTTCTGGTGCGACGCTACAATCGTGTTGCATTGGATCAAAGGAGATATTTCCCGATGGAAAACGTTTGTTGCAAATCGGGTGAGTAAAATATTATCAAAATCATCATCATTGTTTTGGAATCATGTAGATACCAAGGAAAATCCGGCTGATTGTGCAACTCGAGGGCTTACACCATCGCAATTGAAAGATTTTGGTTTGTGGTGGAACGGTCCGGACTGGCTATTACATTCAAATACACAATGGCCACAATTTAATATCAATGATCACTCATTCGATGACATAACTCTTGAAGCTAAATCAACAAAGATTCACGTTCACGCTACAATCACAAGTGAATCTCTTATTTATTATTATTCGTCGTTAACGAAATTGGTTCGCATCACTGCTTGGATTCTACGCTACACTTTTAATGCGCGCAAGCCGAATCAGTCACATCGTCGGTCAGGTGCACTTTCAGTCATCGAATTACAAGAAAGTCTATTCAAGCTGATTCAGCTAGTTCAAGCCGAAGCATTTGGAAAGGAAATTTCGTGTATCCAATCGAGTGAACCATTCCCCACAAAATCGAAAATTCGTGGTTTGGCTCCAATCATCGATAAGTCAAACATACTACGTGTACGGGGCAGATTACAACGATCAAATTTGCCTTATCGTCAAAAGCATCCTATCATCATACCAAATAAGCATCATTTTACTCGTCTTTTGATTGATAATTCACATCAAACCACTTTGCATGGTGGTACAACACTAACATTGTCGCATCTTCGTCAAAAATTTTGGGTCATCAATGGGCGACAAACCGTCGGCTCACAAATTAGGAAATGCATTATATGTTTTCGTAATAAGCCTGAATTAGCAACTCAAATGATGGGAAATTTACCTTATCATCGTGTTAATCCATCAAAACCATTTTCAGCAACTGGTATAGATTATACTGGTGCAATTGAATTAAAGTCATCACGATTTCGTGGCAACACCACGTACAAAGGATACATAGTCATTTTCATTTGCCTCGCAACAAAGGCAATTCATTTGGAAGCCGCTACCGGTATGTCAACCGAACATTTTTTAATGGCATTACATCGTTTTATTGGTCGACGTGGTATATGTCGCGACATATTCAGCGACAATGGCACAAATTTCGTCGGTGCGGATAACTTAATTAATCCAAAGGTTTTCACTGAATCAGTCAAAAAGGATATAGTGCCGAAATTAGCTGAAAAAGGAATACAATGGCACTGTGGCAGCTTCACTGCTATTAAAATTTGGTACTAAATATTACCAGATGCATAAAAACAAATGAAACACATTGTCAAATTTCTGTCACAATTATAGTAGTTTTTTGGTAGCGAGTGACGGAACGAAAATTGGATCGCTCTCTTATCGATTGACCGCCGTCCAGTGAACATCGTAGCGCATCGTCCGCACCCGCACGCATTAGATAGAACTACGCAGCTGTAATCCATCATACGATTCATTAAATAATATTT